ACTTTGAAGGACGGGAAGTACTGCTGCGACGTGCGCTTATTAACGATATCCTTGAACCTGTCGTTGTCCGCCTTCTCCGACGGGAAGAACTACCGAACGCGAACGCGAAGATCAGCCCGGACCGCGCACTTCAGGAACAAGGCACTTACGGCAAGAACAATAGACAGCGTGTCCTTCGTCGTTTCGAAGACTTGCGCGGCGACGCCGTAAGCGTGTTCGCCGAGGAAGAAGACCTTGCTGCCGTTCGGGAACTCCTCTGACAGCGGAGGAGCCTCTTTCTCCACGAAACGAGCGTCCTCACTGGCAACTTCAGATACGGCCATCTGTGCTGCCTGCTCGGTCTCCTTGTCAGGACCCTCGTAGTCCTTGACAAACGCTCCGGATTCCAAGCGCTTCAGACCTGCATCACTATCAGTCAAACTGTTGACCCTTATTGTCACAACTCTCACCTTTGAGCGGCCGGACGTGGACAAGGACATCAATGTCACCAGTGATGACACCACAGCGCTTTGAGTAAAAGTATTCGATCTTCTCCGCCTTCGACTTCCAGAGACTAAGGCCCTGCTGCGCGTGCGGGTTCGACACGACCTTCAGCGGATTGCCCGGGACGACCACGATCTTCTCATACTTGAACAGCGAGTCAGAAACGGCGGAGACCATGCCTTCCTGCAGGAACGGCCAGCCGACGAAAATGCGCTGGCCGATCATCTCTTGTGCGATGTCCATCACCTTGCGGTTCTCATGGACATTTTGGATGTGCACGATCATAGACTTGTTGCGACTCTCGGAGCCGTGCACGTTGACGCCGTGGTGGCCCAGTGTCGCCGTGTGCGGGAGAGTCTGCAGGGACGGGAAGCCTGCGAGGGCCTCGGCGCCGAGGAAGACACCGTCAAGGAGGCCGGGGATATGGTGCAGGCCGTCCATTGTCGGAAGGTGGTACGGCTCCATCCTGCAGGTGCAGCGATACAAGGTTGGGAAGAAGCCAGGTAGCGACGACGGGTACTCTCTGAGCTCGTTGGCGTCATAGGTGAATTTGGTAGATGTACCAAATCCATTTCTGCGCTTCTCTTCCCCCGTCAGACGATGCTCGCGAGCTGAGGGGATGCATGTGAGCTGATTTCAGGATGAGAGCTGTTCATCCACTTACAAGCCATAGCCGCGAGTAATCGCTTTTCTTCGATAAAGGGAATCTTGACGACGGCCTCCCACTCCTGTTTCTTGCCATTCAGATCTGATTCGAATTCTGTCGGGTAGAAGTCGAGAATGGGCGAGTTCGCATCGTACATGAGGTCCTGATATGCTTGCGGGATGTGGTCCCTGCTAGCAGCCGGGAGGACACCCATGAGCTGTTGGAATGGTCGGAACGGTTGACCAAGATCGAAGTTGAAAGACATCTTATCCACACCCTTCAGGTCTAGAGGCTAGTGTGAGCCACGTCTGGTTTGCCAAAGAAGTACGGACATACCGGATATGCGTGGGGCATAGTGATAGTTGTAGAACCAGCTCCATGAAGCAACGCCACTGTAATAGTAGTGCATGACCCACTGCAGGCCCTCGACATAGCGGTATATGAAGTCGAACATCTGCTGAGGGTTGTCATACGAGATCTCGAGCTTGCCCTGAAGTGGTCGTCGCTGTCAATAACGGCAATAGAGCCCAATGCAAAGCCTTCGCACCTGGTAGTAGCCCCGCTTCCACTCGTCCATCTTCTCTTTAATCCCCATCTCATACCGTGCATCAAAGTCGCCTTCCTTGTCATCCTCCTGCACCTTCGCCCTCTCATACTTCTGAAGAACGCGGTCGACCGCTGCCCTACTCTCCTCGTCATCCTCGTCTTCCCACGCGTCGTCGTCGTCTTCGTCGTTATCGTCGGACTTAGGCGGGCTGTCGCCGTTCACCGGTACAAGTTCCTCGAGTTCGCCAGGAAAGCGCCACGTGACCAGGTTCTGGTCGTACTCATCGTACTCGTCCCACGTAACAGAGAGATGGAGCTCGTCCGCGAGCTTATTGATAAACGCGCGATCTTTGGCGGGGAACATATTCGGCATGGTCAGCCGTGACTTGCGCTGGTGCGCTATCGAGCCCGGCGCACGGTGATCGACGATGAAGGCCTTGACCTGGTCGAAAATCTTACGCTGAGAGGCGCTCAGAGCTACGAGCAGCCCGGTCAGCTCACCACAGGTATGATTCAAAATCGGAGAACACACCTAGTTTCTGTTGGCGCTTCTTGGCCGTCTCAATCTCCTTCATATGTTTCGCCTGTTTACCCTTGTACCAGTTCAAATCGGCATACTCCTTCTCAAACACCTCACGCTCCCACTCCGCCATCTCGTCCAAAATAACCTGTAATCGCTTCGTGTTGATGGTCCCGCTCTCGTTGAGGTATCCATCTAGGTACAGATGGTCAGATGGTGATGGAGTGAAATAAGCGAATACTATACCGAGCGATGGGAGACACTTCTTATACACATCAAAGAGTTTCTCCAGACCGTTCTCGTGGATATGCAGGTCGGGCAGGTTGGGTAAAAAATCATTCCCGACAAAGACTGCGAGCAGGATGAAGTCGTCGATGACTCGTTCCAGACTGTACGGGAACGGCAGCATTGGCTCGATGTCATGAAACTCTAAGTCGAGGTATTCTCGCATAAGAGTTAGATGCAGGAGATAGAAGTTGATTGACTCGAGGCTGTAGCACCAGTCAGCCGTAGCACATGGATTCACCAGACTGATGCACACCTCTTATTGCTCTTGCTCTTTGAGGATGGACCGAACTTGACTTCTTCTCTCAGCAAGCAGAAGTGTGGATCGTGACTGAGCAGGCCAAGCATAATCAAGTCGGCGTCAAGACCGTATAGACAATGGCGGACGTTAGGGTCGTAGTCCGGCTGTGCTCTTGAGTGACGAATATACTCCATGATCTTATGCTCTCCTTCTCCTGGTACTTCGTGTCCCGACAGCACAACGGTGACATCACTCCAATTTGCGTCTTCCGTGATCTTCTTGTTCACGAAGTAGCGAAGCTGTTCGGATAGCTTTGCCATGAACGGTGTCCCTAATTGCGAGTTAGGTAGGAACAGCGACAGAGACGCTGTTGCGTACCTGGTGTAATACAGTTGCTGTCGAAGGCTTTCTCATCAGGCAGCTTCTCTCCCTTCCTCAACGCCTTCTCCCTGACCTCTTGCGCCTCCTTCGCCGTCCTGAAACGCCGGCTCCGCTGTTGATTCATCTTCGCCCGAGGAGCCACACCATCTATGGCCATGAAGAATAGTTTCTTCGGTTTGATCTTCCCAAATAGATGGTCTACATATGCAAATATTGCAGTGAATATCTGCTCTTCGGATAACCGAAAGTGTGCATCTTCGTCGTTGGGATGCGAGCCTAAACGGGGGATCAATTGGCAGAAGTAAAATTAATAAGACAGGGACGTACAGTTGTGAATGATTCCATTGAAGTCGATGTACAAGTTATCTAGTAGACTTTAGCACCATTGAGGAAATACTGGATCTATAACTGAACCCACCGAACTCCGGAATCTTGTTCTCCTGGATCAGCTGGGAGGTCAGAGGATACCGCTCTCTGTAAAATAAGATTAGATCACGTCTAACAACAGATGGGTTGATAACATACGAGATGTATCTGAAGAACTGGGCGGGGGATCAGAGGTCGTTCTGCCTCGTGGCTCCAGAATGAACTCGTACCTTCGGGATACCTATATGCACCAAAGCGTAAGGTTTTGCGCTGGGACATTCCACCAATCCACTCACCCATACTCCCGGCTGAGACGTAACAGAAATAAGAGGAGGTGAACTTGCAGACGCAAGCAGTCGAGCTGCAGACTTGCAAGTTGCTAGGCCGCGGCCTGGCAAAAGCGGGCTCGCTTAGCGCGCTGTTGCACGTGATTTCGGCTGCCTCCGAAAATCATCCTTCTGGCGCTTGCGAGGTACGCGTGTTCGACGTTCGTGCCTGCGACCGCCATCCATCTCTGAACATCGCGTATCTGCGGGGGGCCTGTTCTGCCGACCTCGCTTGATACTTATTCTGGAGTATCACGAGAATTACTTTGTTACTACCCAGATCATATCCTGTAGAATGCCTCTCTCGCTCTGCAAGCTTGTTTGACCAGCACCAGCCATCGACCACCACGATCAAGCTGTTATTCTACTGCCTTCAATTTACACATGTTTGTTGAACCATATACTGCGAGCATGTTCTATCATCGTCTCCGAGATCAACGGTTCCGGGTAAGATTAGCTCGGCTCTATCGAATACGGGATCGTGCTGATCGCCTCCGGGATCCAGATCTCGCCCTGTGTACCCTTGTCAGCTGTAACGAGCTGTCACGGTATCTCGATGGATGGATTCCCCGCTGAACAATTTAGTCAAAGACGGAGTTGCAAGGCATCGCGAACTTTTTTTTTCGACAACATGAGTCCATGGCCCTTGAAGCTTGAAGCTTAAAGTCTGAGTCTCAGCATACGCCGAGAGGAGACGGCGCGATCGTATCACTTGGGCCGATCCTTCATACACGAATCTGCGTAGATCCAACGGGTGCAGATAAGTAGGCTCAGTGATTATCATGTCTGCCGCGATGATGGTGTTCACCTCGCGCAATGCGCCTCTGACGCCTTTCCGCAGGTACACCGAAGACATGTATGGACAAATTCATCGGCCAACACTCTGCAAAACGATAGTTTCCCCGCTCGCGCTCGTAATCTGGAAGTTTGTAGGCAATTGTGTGCCCTCATGACGGTAAATCACGTGTGCTGTCGCCATTCCCATTTCCATTCACGCAACGCCCCCTCACACGCTGATAGTTATCGGATTGCTTATAAGTCGATGGACGACGCTGGGCGTACGACGTACTCTACCGTCTCTGAGCACCATGGCACCGGTCGCAACTACCGAAAAGAGCAACGGATCGTCCAACGGCGCTTCCGCCAAGTTCGTGGCTGCGAAAGTCTTCAACCCCTTCTATTCCCCGCCGGCTCCTGAAGGCGATGACAAGGACTACAAACTTGCACAATACAAGGTCAGCTACACCTGTCATGTCTGCGATGAACGCCTCGTGTTGATCTCGTATCGCGCCACAGCCTCGCTTCCCCGACATTAAATGGCCGCCCCTCGAGGAACAGGAAGTTGTCGAGCGTGCCCAATTTGCGGATCCAGAGAAAAAGGCATTGTTCTCAGCGGCAACCAAGGTCCAGCACCTGACACCTGCTATCGGAACGGAAATCCATGGGATCGATCTCAGGCAGTTGACGAGCCAACAGAAGGACGAGCTGTGCGTCGTAGAGTCATTAATTTCTGTCAAGCGCAGGATCTGATAGGGGCTAATCAGGGCCCTCCTCATTGCTGAGAGGGGTGTAGTGTGTGAGTGGCATCTCCGCGATACGGTCCGACTCTTGGGCGGGTCCTAACTGATTTTGCAGTCTTCCGCGACCAAGACATCAATATTCGTGAAATGCTAGAGCTCCACCGCCACTACGGTCCTCTCCACAAGCACGCCACTACGGGTATCCCTCGTGAACCTGGTCTGGAGGAGGTGCACGGTACGTGGGGCAATTTGGAAATTGCCAAGGGTCTCTCCCAATGCGGTCTAATTGGTGTCACCTACAGTGGTCTACAACGATGCTTCTCGCCGGCCTGATCCCTCTGCATTCTCCAAGATTGATCTGTGGCACTCCGATGTGACTTACGAAATTCAGCCACCTTCCTACACCGCACTCAAGGTCATCGAGGGGCCTCCCTACGGAGGCGACACCCTGTGGTCCTCGGGGTGCGCACTTTCTCCACCGGGGCCCGGTCCTCCGAAGTCCGCTGACTCGCGATGCTTCTCTAGCTACGCACTATACTCGTCCTTCAGCCCCTTCTTCCAAAAGTACCTCGAGTCCCTGTATGCCGTACACAGCGCTGTCGCACAAGCCGACGGCGCGCGTGCGGCAGGACAGACGGTCCGTCGCGAGCCCGTCGAGAACGTCCACCCTATCGTGCGTGTCAACCCCGCGACGGGCTGGAAGTCGATCTATGTCAACCCAGGCAAGCCGCTTGTCACATCTGTCTCGCTGGCGTCCACGTGAACTGACCGGCCTCCGCGCCGCGCCGCATCAGGTTTCACGCGCCGCATCGTCGGCGTGCCCAAGTCCGAGTCCGACGCGATCCTGAGCCTGCTCTTCCACCAGATGAGCGAAAACCCAGACTTCCAGGTGCGCTTCCGCTGGGAGCCGAACTCGATCGCCGTCTGGGACAACCGGGTGCGTGTGCCTTCGCTCTCTCTTTTTTTCTTCGCTTTGTTGGCGATGCCAAGGGTGCGGCGCTGATGGAGAGACGTGGGGTCCGGACAGGCCGTCACGCACTCGGCGACGTTCGACTTCTGGCCGCACATCCGGCACGCCCTGCGCGCCACGCCGCATGGCGAACGCCCGCTGTCCGTGGCCGACTACGAGGCGAAGACAGGCAAGGAGGCCAAGGACCGCCAGCTCGAGGTCTGGAAGCAGGCCGGCCTGCCGCTGCCGGAGACCGCAGAGCTCGGCAAGAACGCCCCTCGCGGATACAACGACTGAGATGGCGCCCTGTGGAAATGGAACGCGGACGCTGTTGGTGTATTTCTAGGCCGTGCGCTTGTTGTACGAATGCGATTCGGACGGGTGGAATAGAAAAATGTTTTTTTTTTTTTTTTGCTGCGAGCACATGCCACAGCCCGCCGCAGCTCTCCCTGTCATTTCGATAAGCGTATCATGTACGTGATTCCGGGCCCATGGACATTTATGTGTTCTTGCAAGACGGTTTCGCTTACGCCGAGAAACATGAGACTCCGGTGCGTCCTTCTCGCGACACAAGCTGAGCGCTGAGTCGACGGCTCAGTCGGGTAATAGGTTCGCCTGTAGATCATGGCCAGAAATGAGGTGGCGTCGGTGCTAGACGTTTCTCGCACACTTCTCGCAGGCTAGCGTGCGGCACACCGAGAGGCATCAGCTTCGCGCGCGTGGACGGTCCCACATTGAACAGCTGTTACGGCGGCGCAGAGGCAATGTCTGTGTCCAGGTCCCCTTAATGCCCCTCCCTGAGGCTCGTTCTGCATATGATCGGTGACAGGCAGCATCGAGCCGACGGCTTCATTACGAGAGAGAGAGGCGCAGCTCGATCGCGGTGCAGGTTCACGATGGCTTCCTGCGTGTGGCGGCAGGAAACGTCCGTTTACGTGCCCCGCCTCCTGTCCAGTTCCTGTCTCCCTCTTTTCCGTTTGCCAGACGCGACGGGAAAAAGATCGTTCGTGGCGGCCAGCCCCGCACCACGATGTACCCGCTGCGCCTCGTCCCCTGCCCTCACAAGGTGCCGTCATAGCCACCGTCGAGCCCCTTGGGGCTGCGGCTGCCGTAAACGCATTGAGAGAAGGCTGGCGTCCTCGGCGGCGGATCAGCACACAGGCTTCTGTCCATTGACGAAGATGCTCGCCAGAGCCCCCTTGCTCCGCCGGCGCCGCCGAAGGTTCGCGGTGGGCCAGTCAACAGGCACCGAAAGCTTGGTCTGGCACCGCGGACGCTTCCGCCCGGGCTGTTAGAATGCAATGCAGGAGCCTGGACCTTATACTTGCATTCAATTTGTCCATTGCGCCGCTTAAGGTAGTGTGAGTAAAGTGCGTGATGTGCCCGGGGTGCGTTGGCACAGAATTGGCAAGGTTCAACGGGGCACAGAGTCGGCGGGGAGCTCGAAGGTCCATAATAGATAGTGATAGCAGGAAAAGTCGGCCTAAAGGAGAAAGATTATTTGTATGCCCTCGGGGCAGATGGTCCAGTGGCCACTTGTGCTGTTGGCATCGCTCAATAGTGGCGGAAGAAGCATGCTGACAGCGGGCTTTTCAGCGATAGCTCCACAATTTCCGTGTCTAGCCAACTGACCTCGAACCCTCTCATAAGCACCGAGAGAGAGAGATCCTGCAGAAACTAGCAGCTCGGCTGACATTCGTGAGCATTGGAACTCATTTTCGGACAGAGTCTGCAGTAGCTTGGTACTTTGTTGTTGCGACGACTCCAAACCCCTGCAAAAAGACGCACGCCGACCGGGGCGGTCGTCGCGACTGCCATCTATTCTGTGCAAGGGCATCAGCGGTGCGTATCATGTATGCCATACCGCTCCGCACCTAATAGAAGAAACGACGCCAATAGCAAGAAGGGGCAATTCATTTTGCCCTCGCCTTCGCCGCTGCATTAGAATTGACGTCGCGCAACAGGCCAGATGCCCGCGTGGACACACACACACACGACGTCTCGGAGGAGCACGTCCCCCCCGATCCTGACGTGTTTTCGCATCCAGAAGCCTGTCGCGCACGAGCCCCTCCCACCTTCACACAGCGCCGCAGCAGCACGCGCACACACCCACGAGAAGACCATCGTCGTCTCCACAAAGGGACCGGGGGCAGCAGGCCGGCGGCTACTAGGTGGCACCGCGGCCGCGCGCCGCGCTTTGCCCTGCATGCAGCAGAACCGGCCACAAAGGACTGTTCCGCCGGGAGAGAACGCGAACAGACGCAAGGTAAAAATAAAATCAAAAAAACGGGAGTGTCCGCGCAGCGTAATTGCCTGATAGGCTTCCCCTGGGAAAAATACACGCGCGGCGGCGCGCAGAGAGTCATGCCCACATGTGCGCGTCATCCCATCCCATCCCATCCCCCGCCGCGGCGACAAAAGGCGCGAGTGCAGTTTCCCAGCGTAAGTACTGCTGCCGACAACCCGCCGTGCTGCGCGAGCCCACCCGTAGGTGTCTCCCACCGTTTTCCCATGGTGGCCCAAAAGCGTCGGCGGGAACGACGTCGCGTGGGAGCGAGCAAGTATATGTACTGGTCAGAGTAGTGGTGCCCGCGACGCGATTCGCACCACGTGCGCTTTTTCTCGACGCACGCGAACACGCGCCATGCAACGTCCTGAGGCGAGCCTCCCGCGGCGGCGGCGCGGCACGTACAGGCGGGCAGAGCGTTCGCTCGCTCGATCGCTGCCGCCGACGGCAAGGGGGGGGTGCCGCTGGGTGATGACGCCGCGGCTCCCGCGCGGGCGCAACATGCCGCCGCACCTGCCATAACCGTGCACTGCGTGCGCGCGGGGGTCGTGGGACGAGGGGAGGATCGCCTCCTTCCGTGTGCCTTCGCTGAACGGCCACGGACGGGCGGGCGGGCGGACGGACGCGGCCCCTCTCAGGGTGCAGCTCGGTGACGTTGAAAGGATCATCAGGCAGCGGGAGAGGGAGGGATCTTCGTCCCCCGCGCGCGCGCGCGCAGATCGATCGCCCCTCATCGAATCGTCCGATTCCGGCGTTCATCTGCCAACGCCGATGCGGCGGGTTGGAAATCCTCCCCGCGAAGACGGGCGACGAAAACATTGGGTCCTGAATGAACGGAACAAAAAATGTCTACACAGGGATGACAAACCACGGACAGCGACACTTTAAGGAGATTAATACGCATGCGGCAAGTCACGAGCAGCGAACGAAGGTAGTGGAGAGTAGCAGCAGCAGCAACGACATAGCGTCCAGGAGATCGAGAAAAACGGGCCAAGAAACATGAGCGCAAACCGAGGAAAAGAGACAGCCATAATACCGGCGCCGAGTAACGTAATATAAATTAAAGCGTGTATATGTTTACTGAGGCGAACCACGCGGGTGTGACGACCGTGCATACGGCCCGTCCTGCTGCTGCTGCTGCTGCTGCTCCGCCTGCGGAACATACCACGGCGGAGGCGGCACCCCGTTGCCCACGGCCTGCTCGTGTGCGTGCCGCGTGGGCGGCGGCATCATATGCGGGGGAGGCGGCGCGCCCGCCGTTGGCGAGCTTTGTCCGCTGCCGGGCATGAGGTGATACGCAGTGTGCGGCGGCGGGTGGTGATGCGAGTCTTGTGGGTGGTGTCCGGCCTTCGGCGGATCGTACGGTGCCGCGGCCACGCCTTGCGCATGCTGTTGTTGTTGATGATGCGATGGTGGTGGTGGCGGCGGCGGTTGCTGCTGCTGTTGCTGTTGGGGCGACTGTGACGAAGATGGTGGGGCCTGAGGCGACTCGCCACTGACGTCGACGTTCCCCCGCGACGAGGCCGTCGAAGCTCGCAAGGTTTGCAGGTCGATGGGAATCGGCTTGCCATCGGCACCCAGCGCCTTGTCACGTTTCCGCATCAGTTTCGCGTAGTCTGTACAGAGAGGGTGAGAAGAAGGTCGTTACGGCACAGGTTCAGTACTCACGAAGGCCACAGGCGTTGCATAGGGTCCGTGCGCCGTCCGGACCACGCCTCCACTCCGGCGTCTCCCGGATATTGCAGGAATGACATTTGCCTGGCGGCGTCGCTCTCTGCTTGAACGCAGGGATCAACGACCGGCGCACAAAAGACCAGCATGGCAAAAAGCAGGACGTACACTACGCTTGCGGTACTTGCTCTTGGGCTGCCCTGGCGTGCTCTGGCCGGAACTCGTCGCGCGCTTGCTCCGGATAATCTCCATATCCTGCTCGGCAGTAGACTGGGGATTATCTTCGTTGTACTAGAAGCGTAATTGAGTTTTGGCGAACAACAAACAATGACGGAACGGGCTCGAAGCGTTTACCTCCGGGTGATGATTTTGGTCATCTCGGGCCAAGTCCTCCCAGGGCCGTTTGGGCGGGCGGGCATCTTCCGGCAGCGCGCTCGGAGGCAGAGGAGGAGGCGGCAACGGCTCCCGCTTCTCGTCCGGAAGCGTGTTGCGGCGCAAGTCCTCGAGCAGGCGCACGACGAGCGTCGCAAAGTGCGTCATGTCGCGCAGCTCCTGAGGGCCCGGCTGGGCCCCGGCCGGTGCCGCCTGGCCGTACTTTGTCGCGAACGTGAGCAGCGTCTGGCAGCACTGCACGATCTGTTGGACGATGCCCTCGCGGTACACGCGCTCTTGATCCGCCTGCGGAGGGGCCGCTGCCGCTGCCGGTGGGGCCGCCACAGCGTTGCGAGGCCCAGCAGGTGCAGGGACAATGGGCGTCGTCCGCGTAAAGTTCTCGAACTGGGGCGGTTGTTGCTGGTAAGGCTGTTGCGGGGCCGCTTGATGCGGTGGCTGTTGCGCGGGCGGAGGAGCTTGCCACTGCTCGTGCGACTGCTGAGGCGCGTGGTACTGAGGTGCAGGACGAGACGGAGGCGGATGGTGCTGCGGAGGTGCCTGAGCGGGATATGGCTGCCGGCTCGCCATCTGCTGCGACGTCTGCGGTGGATACGCGTAGGTCGAGCTCGGCGGTGCGTACGACGGCTGTTGCGGCACGGATTCCGACGGGGGCTGTGAGGTCGGCGCCCCGGGCACTTGATGAAACGGCGAGGGTGACTGTTGCGGGTATCCTGGCGGGTAGGCCGTCTGCAAGAGCAAAACCGGTTAGCATCAGGCTCCAATATCGTTTTGAGATGGAGAGAGAGATGGAGCGAGCGAGCGGTGAAGCCGGCTTACGTGAGGGGACCGGGCGGAAGAGGCGCTCATTGTTGAGCTGGACCGTCCACGCTTTGAAGAGGACGAGGCGGGATCGGGGCGAGGCTTGGATGCAGGGGCGGCACCGTGGGGCAGCTGCGTCGGGGACGCGTAGGGGTGGTGCCCTTGCTGGGAGTACGCGGCATCCGGCGGCTTGTGGCCTGACTGCTGCGTCGTCCTGGGATGGTCAGATGGCGGAGGCATGGTCGGGGAGTGCTGGGGACCGGGAGGATGGGACAGCGGCGGGGCGCGGCCCCAGCTCACATTTTCATGGCGGGCTGGCTGTGGCGGCTGCTGGTGCTCTGTGCCGTTCTGAGGAGCAGAGTTGGGCTGGCCTGGGGGCGAACGGTGGTAAGGGAAATGCAGCTCCTTGATGGAAGGCAGGCGTTCCATGTTGGCTGGGGGAGGCAAAGAGAGGGTGGAGTGGTGTGCAGCAGCCATGGCTGGCTCGAGATCGCGGACGGAGGAAAGAAAGGGTGGGTGGGCGCGAGAGGAAGGTATATCTCCCGATGCACCCGGATCTCGACTGAAATCTGGGAGATGCGGGGTGTAGAGCAGGTTAGGGAGCACACGGCCCTGGCGGACTGTGGCAAAAGCGGCGTGTGACGGGTGCGGCTGGGTGTGGGCGGGGGAGACTGGGCCGACGAGGGCGACGACGGTGAGCACGGGTCAGAACGAGGCTGGAGTCGAGGAGGATGGGTATGACGACGGAGAAAGGGGGAGAGACACGCTCGGTCGGGCGTCTGCTCTCAAATCCGAAACTTGATCTCGCGCAGGCGGCGGAGATCCAATTTAAGTCGCCGAAAAGTGGGCAATCTCGAGGTTACCAACTGCACGGCTCTGTCCCGGAACTGCCTCGCCGCTGCGTGCGCGGTGTTTCCGGGCTGCGAGCGTCGAGCACGTCGCCCGCGCACGGCGCAGAACAGGGCGCGGTGTCGTGCGAGCAAATATATTGTTTATTTCGCGCCGTTGGGCGCAGACAGCCCCCGTGGGCGGGCGAGAGAGATCTCGGTAGATCCATCGACAATACGAATCTCGAGAACCGGTGCGGGAATCTCTCTCCCGATGCGAGATCGCGTTACGTAAATCATATATCGCCGCCACGGTGAATCCACGGCAGCCCCGCAAAGGCCACGAGGCTACCGCACCGCACCGCGCGCACCCGCTCCCCGCCTTCGCCTCCTCGTCCCCGCCCTCGTCTCCCGCCTCCCCGTCCCCGTCCAGCGCGGCCCCAGCACACCCAGCACGCCCCGAGTCGCTCGCCGCGCTTCCATCTGTTCCTGGCTCGCCGCATCGCGGTCCCATCGCCCGATCAACGTGCGACGCAACGTAGATCAGATAGACGTCCATAAGGGGCCGCAACGAATAAAGCCTCCGCCGGTGAACCCACTTCCTTTCGCAGCGCGAGCCCTCCGTCCTCTCCGTGGTCTTGTGCACCGCAGCGGGCTCGCAACTTCAAATGATTTCACATACGCCCCCGTCGTACACGTACAACTGGATGCCGCTAGACGTGCGCAGGCAGCCTTGGGTCCCAATGCGGAACGCTCAACGTAACAAACCTTGTCTTTGGCTGCGCCTCCTAAATCCTATTGGCCCACCTACCACAAGTGCGCGGTGCCGCCCACCCAGCGTCACGGGCCTGCAATGCGACTGCAGCACGGTGCCTTCTGGGCCCCCAGGCCCATATCGAGCCTCTCCATCGAGCCCTTGCCCGATATGCAGCGCCGCCAGCGATATCAGCGCGCGCGGGCAAAAGATCGGAGGAACGCCTGTGAGACAGAGGGACAGGCGAGCATGCCAGCAGTGCGCATCTGACGCTTCTGTTGCGTCCTCGGTCAGCCACTGCCCCCCCCCCCCCTCCCTCCTCTCTCTCTGTGCGGACGGCTGTTTGCGATGCATAAGCTTTAGCTCACAAGGTCGATGGAAGAGAGATCCTTGCGCCGCCTACACACATGAGGCCCCCAGCAATCTCGCTGCTCCCACGTCCGGACGGATCGTCTGTGTAGCGTCCGTGGGACGACGTCAGTCAGATGCCCACAGGCGAGCCGGCACCCATTCAGCCCAGGACGCACAGCCCGTGAGGCGAGCCTGCCAGAATGGGGCGAGTGCGGCCGATTGCCCGCGGCTCAGATTCTCCCGCGAACGCTCTCTGCGCCTTTTTGTTTTGGGATCGGCTTCCCTTCAGCGTCCGGGACAAGAGCCAGGGGGAGGCTCCATCCACCCCCTTACCCCTACCCCACCCATCCCACCACCGCTCGCCGATTGCGCGCTGCCCCGGGACGATTGGCTTAACGCCACCGATGGCGAGATAGACTCTGCTCGGACGCCGCTTCCCCCTTTCGTTCGGACCGTGTTTTTATTTTGATGCCAAAGACGGGTCCACGCGTCATTGGGCCAGCAGGCCCCGTCCGTCCATCCATCCGGCACGAGACGCCAGAAACCGTGCCCTATCGCCCCGCCGCGTATCTCTATCTCAGCAGGAAGCAAACGCAGATCGCGGCGAATCTGCGCGAACGGAAGCACTCTCTTGGGCCCCCTTGGTGTGCGCTCTCGGACGCGGTAGTTTGAGGCGAAGGAGGGCCCAGAGGCGATGGCAGGTGGCACGAAGATCCGCATTGACGCAGAAAGGTTCTTTCTTTCGCCTCCCAGCCGCCCGTTCGTCGAGCGCAGGAGCGCACTGCAGGCACTGGGTGCCCTGACCGCCCGCGACGGCGGCCAACGCAATGTGTGGGGACCCAGCGCTGTGGGCACTCTTATCGGAGCCGCATCTGAAACCTGAGATACAATCAGCTGTCAATGCCGAAGAAGCTCGCAGAGACAGACACGCACCAGATGATATGGGTGGAGATGACGTGCGTGGGAGCGTTTCTGTGCGGCACGATGGTGGGAGGAACAGGAAGGGCTGTGATGCAATGTGGGCATTTGTCTATGCAGAAGATCCTGGGCACGTATCAGTCCAGATGTTCGCGGGAAGCCATGAGGCCTCCGCGAGGCGGTCAGGTAGCGCAGGCTAGGCCCCTGTAGGCGGTCGCCCATGAGCTCGCTTAGCTAACAGTAGGCGCAAAGCGTTCGACCTGCTCTCGATGTCTTGGCTGCACGAGTGTCTTGTGACTTCATTTTGCTCCTTCTCAGGCTCATAAGGACGCGGGGCCTCGCCGAAGGAAAACCCACCGCTAGCATCCTATGGAAGTTCATGTCAGTGTACATGCCGTAAATGATGTTTCGAATATTGATTGATACTTGGAGAACGCGAATCGTCAGATGACAGACATGGGCACAAGGTGCTGATATAACTGATATATCGTGGGACCGATACTGAACCGTCAGATGAGTCCAAGGAGGCTGTTGCCGTTCCGCCCGATGAGATCTGCGAGACAGAAGTATAGAGTTCACAACCGTGAATGAGCAACAGAAGGGAGGACCAACTGACCAGGACTGGAAGGCCGAAGGAAAACGGCACTGGTGCAGGTGCGACAGGGTTCCGAGGTGGGTTGGCTCTCGGCACACCTTGTCCCTGCTTTCGTCCAAACGTTCCGCCGTGCAGGTCGAACCGCAGCATCACGATGCCGTCAACAACTTACGAAAGCGAGAACTGGAGTGAACACGCACAGATGGTGCAGAGGTGAGACATCTCCATCCTCTCTGTCGAGAGGACAGCACCGCGGTCTGCGACCTTCACGAGCTCACAGGGTCATCAATCGGAGTTCAAACCGCGTACGCGCCGCGCGCTCCACGACGCGCGAGAAAGTCGCGTCCCACACAAGCTCAGGCCTCAGGAAACCACACGTCGGCTTGTGATCGTTCAGACGTTCAACAGATATATTCAAAAGACACCGATCATAGATCATATCATAGCTAGATAGTCATCACGTAGAAGCAGCCGGAGGCTTAGCATCATATATACAGGGCGGCATGCCCACACGACGCTGATATCTACTTGGAAGACTTGGAGGCGTCGCCGCTGGGCGACGTGTACTGCGAGTACCCGCTGCCGCTATCGTAGTACGTCGACCCGTTTGGGTTGTTGTAGTAGTAGCTCCCGTCGCTAAACGCGTCAGAAGTCAGCAGGCAGGAGATAACGTCGCGAAAGCACCGAGACACCTACGAGTTGGAGTAGTGGTAGCCGCTAGAGCCGCTAGAGCCGCCAGAGTCGCTTCCGCCGTCACGGTGGCAGTAGTGGTTGCCCTGGAGAATATAGGGGTCAGCGTCGTCGCTTGGAAGCGCGGAAGTCGAGGCACGCACCTGGCTGTTGGTTCCACTGCTGGTCGTGGAGTAACCGTCGTTGCCCCAACCATAGTTTCCCTTGGCCATGGTAGAGAGTTTCGAATGGTATCAGAAGGTAGTCGGGAGTATGTGGATAAGAGAGCTACTACCCGCAGTGGGGTATATATAGCGTGACGTCACGTGTCACGCGACGCGTCTCGGCAAGTCCCAGCCCTGGTGACTTGGCCAGAGCACGAGAATCTGCTGGAAACAAAGGGAACACGGAGGAAACGTATTCAAGAAATGACAGAGCGCACATGTCAATTTTAGTAGCAGTGCCACGAAGCTGTCGGGACTGATACCCAGTGAAAAGTCGTTCTAGCGGAAGGTATGCAGAATGTAGTTGTACATACCTCGTGTGAAATGTGTTTGGGATCAATACAGTGTAGGACCACTCCTTGGGACAGCACCACTCCTTGGGACAGCACCACTCCTTGGGACAGCACCACTCCTTGGGACAGCACCACTCCTTGGGACACTCCACTTTCTGCCCTCGCACAGCCCGTAGGGCCTATCACTACCACTTTACTGTATATAATGCATCTATATCTATATGCCAGTAGAAGCTCAGAGCCATCCGGTGATTGTAGCGTAGGTGGGGGAGCAAAAAGCCTCGAAAATTGTCAAGCGCACCGGTTTCAGTGATGCTGCGATTGTCACCAGAGTCGCATAGTCAGCCTAAAATTCGCAAAAATATTCCTTAATACTCGAATTTATGCTCCATTCATGTGAAAAATGCGCATAGTGCTCAGTTGTTAAGTGTCGAGCTGGAATACATCAGAGATGATTCTACTGAGCTTAGGCGTGACTGAGGCGTGACAAGTTTGACTGCCGCGTGACTGCCGCGTCTGCCAAGACTGCTGGTACAGGTCACAGATTGTCACTTTTGTCACATCAGTCACCCTGTCCCAAGGAGTGGGTAGCCGCTGTCTTGGACCACCTCCGTCTTGTGTCCTTCGCCTTGACTTCAGCTTTTGTCTTTTCGCCTTTGCAGCTTTGCACTGAGGTATTTAATATGTTGTAGGTAATATAAATGCGATTTATTTAGTATTTATATGCGAGAGACATACGAAGGGGAAAGCGAATATTTGATCAGGTTGTCCC